ATCCATGTGTCCAGGCCCGCTTGCGCGCACCTTGACTAGTCACGGGTCAACCGCCTGACTTTATTATATTTGGTTGACAAGGTAACTCGTAGGATATTAAATCCTAGATAGGTGACTACCATGGTTTGAACTCATTCCCTTTAAATCCTTTGCTATTTACATTGGCTCTCATTGACCACTTGAGCCATCCAAACTATAGTGATAAAAACTCTGAATGACCATTGCCTACTCAAGGCCGACATTACGTAAATGTTTTCGTTGTGGACAGGTTGGTTATTTATTAATGAATATCCACAATGAAAAATTGTTAATCTCGTGGACGACACAGATGATATTGAGGTTGAACATAATCTTGGTTTTTATGAGGAAGTTTGGAATGAAGGAGAACATGTTTCTTGTGTCATTGAACGACTTCTTCTGACACCTAAAACCGAGTCTTTCCCACAACGCCATTCCCTATTCCGGACTCGATGCACAATTAATGGGAAATTTTGTAATATCGTAATAGATAGTGGCAGCATAGAGAATATCATTTCCAACAAGCTTGTTACAACTCTGAATCTAAAAACTTCACCCCATCCAACACCTTTCAAAGTTGGTTGGATAAAGAAAGGGGGTGAAGCTCAAGTTTCAGCTATATCCACTGTCCCTTTGTGCATTGGAAACATTTATAAAAACCGTATTATTTGTGATATCCTTGATATGGACGTTTATCATGTCTCGTTGGGATGCCCGTGGTAATATGTTACTGAAGCCATTCACAAAGGACGTTGCAACACCTATGAGTTCTTATGGATGGCAAAGAAAGTGGTATTACTACCATTGACTACACACCAAGGTCTTAACAATAAAAATAAAGATAAGGGTCAACTGTTCCATCTTTATAGTGGCAAGCAAATGATGCTCCAGCGTGATTCCTCTATCCTTGGCCTAGTTGTTTAAAACTTTTATTCATCTGAATCAAACCTAGTCCAAGAAACGTTTACTCGGATTGATCAATTCCCTAACATATTGGATATACCCTCTGATTTACCTCTCCTCCAAGACATCTATCATAAGATAGATCTTGTCCCCATTGGCACCCTACCCAACCTACCTCATTATCAAACGAGTCCAGCAGAATATAAAATCCTTAATGAGCAAATACAAGACCTTCTAGCCAAAGGACACATCCAACCTAGTTTAAGCTCATGTGCCGTTGCAGCTCTTTTAACACCCAAAAAGGATGGGTCGTGGAGGATGTGCGTTGATAGCAGGGTCATCAATGAGATTACAGTTAAATATAGATTCCGTATCCGTAGAATTGGTGATTTGCTAGACCAACTAGGGGGTGCAACATTCTTTTCCAAAGTTGACCTCCACAGTGGCTATCACCAAATTCGAATATGGCCTGAATCTCCAACATTCTTTTCCCAGCCCCTGTTTTAGAGCCCTTGCCTATATAAGGGAGGATGCTCCTTTCATTTGTAAGTTTTCCGAATTTAAATAACATTCCCCATTGGGCTACGCCACTTAATGTAAATAAATAAGAAAAATAGATTTTAAAGTACTGTCCCAATGAGTCAGTATATCTTTGTAAGATTATATGTGGAAGAATTCTTAAATTTTCTTGTTCAATTCTACTACTAGCCTATCTCATGGTACATCTAGCTATGAAACACCTGTCTATCAAGTTTGTGAATAAAAAATTTACATTCTTTGTTTGCTGTTGATTTTCTGGAAAACTGTGGCGACCAGTCCTTTGGTTTAAGTTTCAGCTTACGTCTAAGAATGTTATGCAGATTGGCCCAGGTTGAAGTACCTATGAAGAGTCTTACTATATATATGCGCTTGGATTTTAAATGGGATTCATTTTTCGTTTGTTTTATAATTAGTTTTTCTGGTAAGACTTACCCACTGTACTTATATGTCCTATAAAATTATTTTTAACCATGGCCACATGCATTACAAACGTGACTTACCTTGTTCAGCCACAAAGGTGAATTGTTCTGCCGTTAAGCCCCAAAATACAGTTTTCTAGGACTCCCGTTGGGCATGATTAAAGATGCCTCTTTGAAACATGGAATATTTACTTAAACTTTGTATGATCAAATGGCAACACTAGAGGGGTGAATACACTAAATAGAGTTACCTACCAACTTTTCAAATTTAAAAATAAATTCAAGCACAACAAATAATTAAGCAGTCAACACAAAAAAGGATTAACAATAAGAAGAGTTATTGTGTAAATTAGTTTTACAATCCTATCATGCAATCTAGCATGATGTAGAAATTAAAAAGAGAAGGGAAGAAGTGACGTTGGAAATTTTTATAGTGGTTCGTAAATTCCTACTTCAATCCCCAGGACTCCTTAGTGTTTTACTGCAACGGCCTTCTTACGTGTGACAACCAAATCAATTGACCATCTTTTTATCCTAGGCTAAAGGGAAGCCTCACATCCTTTTTATTGGTTCAAGATCCAACCAACTGTATTTTCTCTCAATCCAAGGTGTACCCACGCCTTAATACAAAGCGCAATTAAAAATAAAAAATGCAAATACCACAATAAAAATACATAAGTTTTGCACTTATGTAATGGCTAAAAAGCTGCAATATATGTCTGACAAAAAGGTAAGCAAGTTTATGTGTAGGAGGGAGTGAAAATCTGGAAGAGTTTGATATTTTAAGAGCAAAACGATGAAGAAAAGAAAACTAGCTTTTGCTTTATAAATTGTTGTTGATGAGAATGAAGTTATTAGCTTTATATAGAATTTCAAGGATGAATTTTAGCCATTGGATTTATTTTATTATTATTATTATTATTTTTTAAGATACTAACTTTTCGTTGAAGATATGAATAGGAACAAAATGTTCAACGATACAAACTCTTTAAAGAGTGAAAATAAATGTAGAAAAACGAAAGAAAAAAGTAATTACAAAGGACTAATAAAAGCACCCCAATTATTAAATAAGAACATGGGACTAATTCGAAAAGGAGTCCATAAGAGAACACCAATGAGAAGCCTTGAACTTAGCGTAATTGAGACAATCAAGCGTAGCTCTACGCTTTCTTCGAAGATCCTCAAATTCCTCTCAAATCATAATTCCTAAAGAAAACTTTTCACAGCATTAATCCACAAAGCCCGCACAATAGATGAAGGATGAAGAAATCCACATAGCAATTGAGGCAAATTAGCTTCTGCCCTGTAGTCCAAAACCCAGTCAACCCAAAATTGAGAAAAAAGAGAAGACCACCCAATAGTAGCATAGGAATAGTGGAAAAAGATATGGTTAAGTCTTCCCCATTTTCCTTGCAAAGAACACAGATAGATGGCAGCAAAGTAGAAAAAAGGTTGCTTTTTCTGAATAACATTTGTGGTATTAAGCTTCCTGTGAAGAAGAATCCAAGAAAAAACATTAACCTTTCTTGGACACTTCGATTTCCATAATGCAGCAAAAAGATCTTTAGGCATTGGAGAAGCATCTTTCATTCTGTTTAGGGAAGAAACACAGAAAAAACCTGAAGATTCCAAATACCAAATTCGATGGTCAGCCTCAGCACTATCCGAAACCTTGCATAATATGGCCAGGAGATCTTGCATTCAACTAACTCATTGTCTTTTAAGGATCTTCTTGACCCAAAATGCCATGAATGAGTATTAAGATCCCATAAATCTGACACTTTGCCGAGGGAAAGAGGTGAAATTTTAAAGAGATTAGGAATTCTAACCTTTAGAGGATTATTAGTAATCCAACGAGAGTGCCAAAACAGTATTTTGCTGCCACAACCGAGATTAAAGGAAACGAAAGATTCGACCAAATGCCACTGTGTAGAAATGTTGCTCCATGGGCAGCGCTTACAAATGGACAAACACGGAGAGGTGAACCAGCCAAGAGAATCTAAACCATGAATACTCTCTACTACCTTCCTCCAAAGAGAGTGATATTCAGAAGTTAGCCATTGGATCCATTAGCCATTGAATTTAGGGTAAAAAAGGATGAACAGTGTAGATAAGAAGAAAGATAAGAAAAAGAAATAAAGAAAATTTATTGAGATGGTAAGAAATTGTGGAGATTGAGAGTGATTGTAGAAATTGAGAGATTTGTAGAAATTGTTGATTCCTACATGTTTGAAAGCATCACATGTCGTTCTTTCATTCGTTTGATTGTTGGATGCACGTTAGCAAAATATATTTGTTGATGTCACGTGTCAACTTTTGAGTGGTCCACTTGTCCACTTCACCTGCCATGTAGGATTTTATCCCAATATGTTTTGACCATAACTTCTTCATTTGAGCTCTAATTTGAGTGATTCAAAAGGCATCGAAATTGTCTTTTCGAGCTATATGCTATAGATACTTTGAAACATTCTAATTACCAGTTTATACTTCGTTTGTAATCATCAAAACATTTGGTTTTATTGAGCCCTTGAGGCAAATTTATCTTACCTCTCTATATTTTACCTATCTGTTTTTAGAATGCCCAAAGTGGTCAGAGTGGGAAAAGTGGTGATTGATTTATTATCTTTATTTTTGTAAAGGAATTGCAATTGCTTTATTATGTTTATTTTTGTAAAGGAATTGACAAAGAAGCAGGAGCTTATTTAGTTAGAATCAATATATTGTTGCAACCATACTTCTACATATAGATTTTTAAGCCAAGTTTTGTTTTTCCATCCTTTTCCTGGCAGGTACTGCAACTGGGGGCTCTTTGTGTGACATCGAAATATGATTGGAGCTTACTATCTTCAAGTTTTAAAGAACAATCTGTTATGCTAAAAGGCTTAAGTGATTCAATCTTGGCCTCTGATATTGCTTTTACAGTTCAGCCTCAAAATCTGTACGATCACTTTGATATTCAACTACGAGATTTGGAGGTTGATTTCCTTCTTTTGGGTGTTCTTTGCTTTTTGTTTCGATTTTATTATCAGAATATAATTTAAGATAAGAACTAATTTCCTGCAGATGGGGATCCAAATGCCTTCTCAATCTCAAAGTATCCCTATTTTTGAAAAGTTCAGTGCTGCTGTTGCCCTGCGTTCTTGTCTGATCCCTAATGAATCATTGTTGAAGCAGTTGGAGGTAATTTGCCTGTTTACTAGTTTTTTGTATGCCACCTACCCGTTTTGTGGTCTAGCTTACCACCCATAGATGCTACATGTATTTTTGTTTCATGACATGAAGAAATATCTACTTTTTCTTATTGTAAAATTATCTACTTATAATTTTACAATAAATTTATGTTTCAAATCTTATTATAAAAACAATATTTTCTTTCTGTAAGAGTCTGGTATTTTTTGTCAAATTTTGTACTGATTCATTTGATAGTGATATCTAATAAATATATAATTTTTCTTTTTTATAGTAAAAGGTAGTTTCATTGGTAGATGAAATATGCATAAGCTTTACACAGGTGTGCAATTGTGACGAATAGTACTCCAGAGGGAATGAGTTAAAATCATCGTGGACATCTACGCAAAATTTAAAAGATCTCACAAGTTACAACCCAACTAAATATTGTAAATTTAGGTGATTGTCATATGAGATCAATTGTGGTGTATACCAATTACGGATACGAAAAAATAAAAGGAATAACTACAAAAACAGTTTAGATCTGAAGCACATAAATCAGATTCAAGAATAGTAAATACTTCCCACTGTTTGATTAAAATTTCTTGAGGTACATTGAAGATATTCTTGTTTCTCTCCCTCCATAACTCCCATAATATTGCACAAAAACAGTCAAACCATAAAAACAGTGGCTTCAAATCGTGACCAAAATTTACATTCTTGGGCAAAGGGATGAGATTGTTGAAAATGTACCAGCTATTTGTGGTAGAGATCTAAGCCAAAAATCAAGGTTATTTTATTAATGTTGGAACAGTGTTTTCCAAAGGCGACAAGTCTGATAGCCTTTAGGCGAGAGGCAATAAAAAGGCGAGGCCTTTGTGAAGCGAGATGCACTTTAATAAATAAATAAAAATTATATATATAGAGCATAAATTTATATAGTAAACATAGTTTAAAAAGATCAACATCATGAAAGATCAATAATAAAATAGTGATTAAAATGTTAAAAACAAACATAAAATAATCAAATTCTATTAATTCCCAAGAAACAATATGAAGAAATAAGAACAAAAGTAAATGTAAAACATCAAAGATCAAAGATCATCGTCATCCTCTAAATCTAAAGCCTCATCTTCATCTTGGACATTCTCCATTTCTTTCTAATTCCAATTCTTCTTCATCAATATCATCATCACTAATCACTTGTATACATATATTAAAAGAAGAAACGGAAAGCCAATGAAGAAAGTAAAACTTTGAGGAAACTAAAAACTCACCGGCGATGGAGGAAGACGCCGAGGGTGGTGGCAGTGGCGACGAAGGAAGAAGGTGGTGGCGGTAGCGAAGTACAATGTCTTTCAGGTGTGGGTCTTTTGTTTTTCGCTGTTGGTATTCGACTATTCAGTTTTCTAGTGTTGCTTTTCATGGGTTTTTAACAATAAATCAAGAAAAGTAAAAAAAATAAAAAGAAAAATAAAAAATAAAAAAAATAAAAAGACATATGTGACGCCTCGCTTCAAAAAGGTGCTGGAGGCGATGGCGTGCCAAGGCGAGGCAAGGCACACAAAGCGAGCACCCAATTGAAGGCGCTTACCTCAGCCCCATTCAAGGCACACCTAGGTGGAAATGCCTTGCCTATCGCCATAGGCGAGCGCTTGGGCGCTCCTTGTACATAAGGGAAGCCTTGCTTTATAATTATGGGCCAAGCTTTGTATTATTGGGACAATATTACAATAGTTCTAAAGATTAATCGTAAAATAACAAGTAAAGTTACTACCGGGAGCTAATCAAAAGAATTAACACAAATACTAAGGAATTTCAAAAAGATACCCCTAACCTACCTACATCAATTACCTCCCCCTTATAAGGAATAACAATCATGTGGAGGGTTAAAGGTAGCTGAATATAAAATGTTAAAACATTAGAAATACTAAAATCAGGTGAGTCACTTAACCTCATGCACGTTACTTCCAAATTCATTTGATGGTCCTACAAGGGCTGATCATTTTCTTCTTAAAGTTATTATAAGATCCTTTAGAAAATTGAAAATTTTGTGTAGGTGAACTATAACTAATTCTTTATGAAGCATTAACTAATTCTCCTCTCCCAAAAAGCATTAAAGAGATAAAAAAAATCTTTTATTGAAGCATACACTCTTTTCTACGCAAGGAAAAAAGGACCTTTCTCAGGTGGAGATTCATATGACAGGGCTTTTCAAGATGATGATGAAGCTCTAAATGTTAGTGCTAGTAGCTTGGAACCCTCTAATGAGTCAGACCCTTCGAGCATCATTAATGACGTTTTTTCATAATATGCTTTTAATGAAGAATTGCATAATCTATCAATTAGAATATGGAAGCTGAAAAGTCAGCAGTGATTCCCTCCTACTCCAAGCTTATCAAGCTTCGCAAAGAATGAGTTACTTTGTTTGAAGAGCTCTCTAGAAGAAAGTTGGAGATACAAGCAATTAGGATAGCGAAATTGCTGAAATTTGTGCCAAATTTTCTCTGGAACTCAATCCAGATGACAAAGATGGCGTCGCTAGCGTGTCCGAAGTTAAAGATACTTAATGTTTTCTTTTCTATGTCCTTACCTTTTGGAGGATGATTCTGTCAGTAGTCTTTATGTTCTTATTGTTGTTATTCTCTTTTGCACATTTCGGTTTTATTCATTTGTTTATAGCTCATTTTCCTTTTTATTTTGCTCACCCCTTAGAAGCATGTATCCTTTGAACATCCTCCTTTTCTTTAATCAATTAGAAGTTCGTATCTTGTTCAAAAAAAAAAAAAAGTCTAAGTCGTTATTCCTTCCTACTTTGAAAAAGTCGGCATCACCCTTGTACCAATTAATAGGGTATCTTTACATTTTTATTTTGAAGTTTTGTAGATTGTGTTTTGAAGTTGAAAGGCCTCGACAGAGTAGTCATTAATGGTTTCTCCCTTCTGCCGGATCGATTATCTTGGTTTCAAGGGGCTTTAATGAGAAGTGACTCTTTTTATTCCTTGGCTTTTCACTCCTTTTGTGGCTGATCTCGGTTTCTGTATAGTCATGGTTTTTATGAGTAGTGGGGAATTTGAAGAATTTTTGTTTGGGATATCGAGACATTAATAAAGACAACAATTTTGATGCTCGATCAGTAATTGAAAAGTCACCTTGAAGAATTGTGTCTCTTCCTTCCTTTGGCAGTCTGTTTTATTTTGGGTTTGAAGGGGCTTTAATGTCTCTTTCCTTTTATCAAGAGAATTTATTCAGTTTAAGGTGTTTTCTTCAAAATTTGAAAGGTCTTTCTATACAGTTTTATTTGGTCTTTTCTCCTCATATTCTTTTCGTATGGAGCTTAATTATCCCAAGGAGCTTGTCAAAGAGTCTCATTGAAAAAGAGGCAGGATGGCTGTCCTCTTCTTAGCTTAGTTATTTAAAAGGCTTCTTTTGGTGTTAAGTCTATCATCAAAATGGGCTCCCTGCCTTTTCTCTTAGCAAATTCCTTTGGGATCTCTTCTCCTCCCTTGGATTCCTGTCTCGGTCAAGAGGAGTCACGAAAAGAACAAGTTCAAAATCATGATCAATTTCTTTTTCCTATCGTACGACAGCTATACGAGCTCGAGTCAGATTTATCCCGACAGGAGTAAGAGTAATAATAATGTTTATATTGCCACATCAGCAAATATAGTACGCAAAATAATACGAAATGAAAAAGGAGAATATGAAATTACTTTGGTGGATGTATTGGATAGGCGTCAAGTGGTTGGTATTATGATCCCAATGTCCTCAATAGTTGGTTAGCTTTTCTATATTCGTGGGCAGAAAGGCTTAAAAAGGAATGGGTGGCCGGCTTAGATAGAATAAAACTGAAGATCCAAGTCGAGTATGAGATGGAACTTGATGAAGGAATTGCCAAGATCAACGAAAACTATGAAATTTTGCTCTGAAGTTGAGTTTGATGATAACAATCTCTAAAGATTTGTTTTGTTTTGAAGAGAGTGACTTAGTCTTATTCGGAATACTTCTTATTTAGGTTTTCAGATGCAGTTTTCATCTTAGTTGTTTACTTCTGTATCTTTGGATTCTCGTGGGTTCTTTTCTTTTTCTTTTTTGCTCCCATGGGAGTTTGTATCCCTCAACAATTTGCTTAGTGGCTGCAGCGGAGGAAATATTTGTTTTGTTAAGGTGCTCGATCACCTACGGATCTTCTTCACCTATTCTTTCACAAGTTTAGCTTCATCAATAATACCATAAAACTATAAAAGTTTATCAAATCAAGAGTTAAAAAAAGGAGCTTTGCAATTGATGAATTCTTTCTTTTTTTTTTTTGAATAATAAACAAAATTTTCACTAAAATATGAAAAGGAAAAAAAATGTTCGATGATACAAGCTTTCAAAAGAAAGCGAAGAGAAAAGAAAAAGTAACCAAGTAACAGAAAGCCAATGACCAAAGCCAAAGGTAGAAGCCAGAGGAAGCATAAATAAGCTTCAAAACAACAGCAAAATAGAATACAGAAATGAAGAAGAACGTCTGCCATAAAAAACCAAAACCAACGACACGACCATAAGCATCGAACAAGAATCCCTGGAAGTTGAAGAATAAAACTTTGCAAAAGCCTCTTCAAGCCAACAGAAGCAATACCAAAGACCAAGCCTCCCAAATACCAATACCAACAAAGCTTGAGTACCAATGTACCAAACCAAAAATTCTTCGGGAAAAACTCAAACGAAACTCAAATCTACTGCTCTTGAAAATCCCAGGGAATTCTTCGAAAAAACCTTCCATCAAGGGCCAAGGGAATGTTCTATCATGGATTCTCCTTAATGGGAAAGTAAATACTTCCGAAACTCTCGAAAAGAAGCTGCCTAACATGCTCCTCCAACCTTCTATATGTGTTTTGTGTGCTGCCACTTGCAAAGACAAAGCGCATTTGTTTCTCTTTTGTCCTTATGCATCAGTTTGCTGGGATCTCTTCTTTCATAGCTTCAATTTAGCTTGGGTAAAGGACAAGCCAGTATCTTCATCATCTTTTCAGTTGCTATTTGGTCATTTCTTTTCTCCTAAAGCAAGTCTTCTTTGGGTAAACGGTCTTAAAGCGCTTATATCCGAGTTATGGTTTGAGCATAATCAAAGGACTTTCGAAGGGAAAAGCCGCTCAGCTTTCAAATGCTTCAATATAGCTAAGTTCAAAGCCTCACAATGGTGTGCTCTCTCCAATCTCTTTGCAAATTATTCTCCTAGCAGGCTTTTTTGTGTAATGTTTAAGCTTTCTTTATTAAGTTTTGTTTGTTTGTATCTTTATTTTTATTTTTTTTCGTCTTCATCCCCCTTCATTTCACCCCTTTTGGGGTTTGTATCTTTGAACAATTTTTGTTCCTTTTCATTTAT